GAGGAGTTTCAATGCGTCTCGATGTTTCCCTTTCTTTGGGTCACCACTGCATAAGCTGGGTGTGATGCGAATTCAAGCTAAACACTTTAACTTCATCTAATATACAAAGACACAGTTCAGGTTTACACGAGTTTCTGATCAAATATATTGTCAATGCTGCCTATTTATTCATTTATGCTGATAGTTGGATGGAAAGTAAAATACAACGTGTATTTTACAGGTTATATGAGCCTTAAAGTGGACCTATCATGCTATATTTGAATAATATAGTGTAGGACCATACCTATATAAGGCATATTTATACTTTTTTTTTTTCAAAATACCAAACAGATCATGCATTTTAGCCATGCCTCATTTTGCTCAATTTGAAAAATGTTAGCTCTGTTTTTGCAAGGGCTGATTCTGTGAGAACAGCACCATCTACAGGCCTGGCATATGTACTACAGCGTCTCCAGCGCTTTCGAACGGCAATGGCCGTGGCTGTCTCCTCCTGATTGGTGGAGTTGGCCCAATAGCCGTAGCGCCACTGTCCTGATGTCAGGACAGTGTTCAAATCTGGATCAGTTTTTATCAGATCCGTTGCAGCCCCTTTTTTAGAGATTTGGGTATGGAGGAAAATAGAGAGGGTTGTGTTTTCTGACACTTGGTGAGTTCCCTGGAACACCGGGGACACATATTCATGTATAAAAGACGTACAAAAGTGCATTTTGCATGATAGGTCCCCTTTAAGTTAGGTTAGCTTAGCATAAATGCTGGAAGCAGCTAACGTAGCTCTAAATAAATAAATACGTCTGTAACAAGCACCCCTAAAGCTCAATTAATAACATCTTATATACTATACAACAACCGAAGAGTACAACATGCAACTTTTATTTGTATTTTACTCTCTTGGCTCTTTGATGACTGTTTTTAAATGTATGTACATGTCCTTTTATACTTTGTTTCTGCTTCACTATATCTTGATGCACTTTGAATTGCCTTTTACTGAAATGTGCTTTATAAATAAGCTTGCCTTACAACTGTAGGTTTTACAGTGGTTGGTACATGATCATTTCTTTGCCTGGGACTTCCTTTTTGTCAACGTGAGATTGCTAGATACCCAGATGCTTCCAGACTTTATGCTAAGATAAGCTAACCAGCTGATTGAAACAGCTGGTTATAAGGCTCCAGTAAAGTATCTGTGCCTGGCAAAGAGTCGAGCAGCTTTGAAATCAAAATCCCCAAAACGTCAGGGGACTCGGAACGGTGTTTGATTTCAGTAAGATTACCTACAAAATGCCGCTCTGAAAGACACAGCCATGAGAGGGGCAAACAGAAACATGCATCTACAACCCAAATGAAATCCTATTAGCCTCTGTCCGTGAGAGGGCAGGCAGAGTAATGCGTCTGGGAGGCCATGCAGAGGATATGCAATAATTCCTGCTCTGCACATTTTCTGCCGTCAAAATAATCTATTGGAAGCCAGTCAACAGTGGAAGTGGTGCTCTGTGTGTGTGTGTGTGTGTGTGTGTGTGTGTGTGTGTGTGTGTGTGTGTGTGTGTGTGTGAGATGGAGGGGGAAAGTGAGTGTAGCGGTATGTCAGTCTACAGAAAACTCCACACAAACAAAGTTTACAACCATCGCACATGGAGGTAAGAGGGAAAACACCCAGCACAGGTTGTACATCAACCACACAGCGACATGCAAAGTCCTCCACAGGAACGTAGGAGGAGGAAATAGTCCCTTTAACAGCCTGTACTGCATCCATCTACCTGTCTGTCCGTCCATCCATCTGTCCGTCCAACAACACATCCATCTTTCTTTTTCATTTCGCCAGACACACCAAAGCGTGATGGCAACACACTTTTTATTTTATGACAGTGAGTGTGTGGGAGAGAAAACTCCCTCTGAAACACAGGGATGTTTGCCTTTGCAGACCATTGGCATGCACTAAAACCTATAGAACACACTAGCAGAAAGGGAAAACCCCAAAAAAGCATAATAGCAGTTTAAATTCAATGATTGAATTTACTTTTTGCATGACCTTCCTTTCTTTGTTATATTTAAATGTTCACTTTGTTCCATCATTGTCTGACTCCAGCAGCTCAGAGGTTGACCTGTAACCCAAATTAACTTTTTCCATAATGTCTCCTCCTTATCTACATCACGCACATGTCTTGCTCTGCTCCTTGGCTTGCCGAGTGAGGTAGTGAACTAAAATAGCAGCGATAGCGTCAGATTGCAGGCCAGACACGGCAGCTAATTAGCGGCTCGACTGCAGCATGAAAACACCGTCACTAATGTTAAGGTGGGTCAGTTAAGAGGCTGGATGGTGTGATAAACAACACTGATAAACAAACACAGATAAACAAACACTCTCTGCCCCTGTGCTAGATTTAACTTAGCCTTAAAAACAAACTCAACATATTGTGGTATTTGTTCAAGCTCCACTGAGCACTTTTATTTAAAAAAAGACGAATGTTAAGGTGGGTCGGTTTAAAATTGTTTTCTATCTGACATCAAGTCAAATTCCTCGTACGTGTCAACCTACCTGGTAATAAACCTGTTTCTGATTATGATGCTGATTGTTATGATATGTAGGCCCAATCCCAAACCAACCCCTACAGCCTCCCCCTACCCACTTTCACTCATTTTGCGCCCTTGCCTGAAGGGTCCCACACATCAAGTGTCGTTTTAAACCGAAAGTGAAGAGTGGGAGTGATTAACCCTTTAACAGTGCGTCTGCATCGGTCCTCCTGACTAACTACCTGTCCATAAGCAATGCTGTTAGTGTCCGTCATGAAACACGCTGTGTACAAGGAGATCTATGCAAACATTTACTAGTAAACTGCGAGATATTTATACACGGAAAACAACTTCCAAGTTAAATTGTATTTTCTTTAACATAGGGTAATATATACCCCTGTCAAGTCTAGATGCCGTTAACTGTGTGCATTTGATTGTAAAGTGTTGTATATTACAGGGACTGTTCCAACATTCAAGCACTTCATAAACATCAGATTTAAAAACGCAAAGATGTTTAAAAAATAAATAAACGCCACTTAAGATTTTTGTATTTTTATGGTAGTTATTATTTGTTGTATTGCTGATTTTAAACCATGATTACGACACGTTACGACATTTCCTGGATCTTCTGGAGAGAGGGGAGTTTGAACCAAAGCTTGCTGCTGTATTTACACTCTCCAGCTTTCAGAAGGGAGCCTCGTTCAGCTGTGATTGTGATATAAGACGTAGTTAATAATAATAATAATAAATTCAATTTATAAAGCACCTTTCATTGCTAACAGCAATCCCAAGGTTCAACCGTCTAGGAACGGGAGGGTGTAGAGGTTGGGACGTTTTCAACACCACTGACTCCTTTTTCTTGTAAGCATAAGTGCGTTTAAATTGTGACTCTATGCCGCTTAGCTTTCAATCAAATAAGTAGATTTTCTTCTGCTAACAGGAATACTTTTTTGATTTCAATTGGTCTTTGATTTTTCTAATTTCTCCTCCTCTTCCAGTTTTCTCAAGCCCTCACTCTGACATCCTGTGGTGCATACACTCTGAAAACCAATAACATGGAGGGTTTTATTTTAATATGCGTAATACACGTGGGCCACTTGTGGATAAACATAATTGGATACATGGTTCTGGTCTCAAGAGGGAACAGCAGAGTGTTTTAGTTAAAACTGCTGGTCTGGTATTCATCATGTTGTTGTTGCTCACTTCTCTGATTTCAGATTAAGTATTGATTATCACGAGTACATCGCCGCAGAGGTGCATGCTGGTCCGGTTGATGTGCACGTCGCTGAACAATCGAGGAGATCGGAAAATGATTGCTTCTGCGGCTGCTCGGCCACACGTTATTGACTAAGTTACAAATGTGTCCGCTGTGAGTGAGAGAACTAATCATGTCTTTATATAGCTCTGTGCGCCCGTGTGATTTCAGAGCAGAACACCAGGGTGGCTGAACTCGCTAATTAGTCTGACTTTTGTCCGGAGAAGAATTCAAGTCCAGGCCTCCTGCTGGAGTGTTTGATTAGAAAGCAAATCTGCTCCATTCAGTCCAGCGGAGGTCTGTGATTGGAGACCCATTAACCTTCTGTTAAAGGGGCAATCCACACTGAATCACATCAGGCAGAAAAGGCCTGCTGAACTGTTAATGAAAGTTTGAAGCTCGCTGCACTTCAGACCACAACCCAGCGAGTGAAGTAAAAGCATGTGATAAAAAACTAGCAGCCACATCAGATAACATTTCCACCTATTATTCGCCAGTGCAATGATAGTATCCTGTGTATATTTTACTGTATGTTCTCTCCAACTGTCCTTTGAAACTACCTGTAGGATGTTCCAGTTGTGCTCCCTTCCAACAATGGGAATATTCTGCATGTATTGAGCATTATTTCATTCATATTTTATACATCCGTTATCTTTAAACACTCCACATCTCCACAAGAATGCAAAATAAAGTTTTGGGGGAGTTTGTGTTGACAGACTGAGTAAACTGGGACTGTAGCTGTCAGCTGTCAGACACACTTTCTGACTTGATTCACCTTTCACTGAGCCCTAAAAACATTCAGCATATTCTTCTGTTGCAGAGTTTTTCTACCTGATACACCGAGCTCTTTCACTTTGAAAGAGCAGCAGGAGAAACGGTGGCTGCATATTGTCCCCAGTGCAACGTGTACACAAATGCAAAGAACACCTGAAATAAACTACAGTTCAGCTACAAGCCACCGACACAGCTCTTTGGACCATGTGTGACAGTTTAAAATAAAGGGTATAGCAATGTATGTAATTGAGATAAATTGCAATTATTTTTGTAGCTTTCTCATAACTTTAAATCATCCTTAAAACAGACAATCCATTATTTGAGCATGCACTTAAGAGGAAGATAGGGACAGCACTGCAGCTTTCACAGAATGCACTCACACTGCACCCTATAATAAGTACAAATTGTGCCATTAGTGACTCATTCTGCGTGTGTGCGTGTGGGCGTGTGTGTGAGAGAGACTTACTTGAATCCAGGTGAGACGGTGGCACAGCTTCCTGACTTAAGCCAAACGCAGTAAGGGTCCCGCGAAGACAGACAGCTTCTGCACGAGAGACAGACAGACACACAGTCAGTGATGGAGGTAATTGCGGAGATTAGTGTGTGTGTGTGTGTGTGTGTGTGTGTGTGTGTGTGTGTGTGTGTGTGTGTGTGTGTGTGTGTGTGTGTGTGTGTGTGTGTGTGTGTGTGTGTGTGTGTAGTTTCTTCCAAAGCCATTAGATTGAACATGTGGCAGAGACAGAAGTCACAGAAACACCCCCACTCATTAAATCGGAGATAAAATTGCTGCAGTTTCATTTTCATTAGGCGTGATGAAAATAGTTATCATTCAGCATCTCCGAGTGTCAAAACAAAAGCGTTATTATGGCAGCATAAATCTTTACATCTTAGCCGTGACTCTTCATGCAACTCCAGTCCTTTTGTTCTCATGCTAATTAATGGATTTGTTTACAGAGTGTGCTGATCTAAAAACAGTACAGCTACATCTTGGGATCAATGGATGGGAACACATGGTTGGCTTTTTATAACGTGAACCACACAGTGTCCGCTCAGCAGTGCCTTTATGTGTGAATACAAAATGCAATTCGTTGTTTTTTTCATTGACAATACATCTCCCAATCATACGGTCTTCTTCAGAACAAATGCAGACGATCACAAAAGAGATTAGTTTTCTTTATACTGAGGACTTTTCGTTTTCCGACTGAATGCAAATACCTTGTTTTGTATAGAAATAATGTACAATTTGTGAACGACAAAAGACTTCTTCAGTATTTAACCACCTATTTTCTTGTCTAGCTTCTTTGTTGAGACCTTCTCCAGCAGAGAGGGCAACAGTACACACATCCTTTACTCAAGTAGAAGTACAGATACTCGTGTTTAAAAATACTCTGGTAAAAGTAGAAGTACTGACTAACCTTCTTTACTCAAGTAAAAGTAAAGAGGGCTTTGAAATGTACTTAAGTAAAAAGTACCCATAACTAGCAGCTGTTTTAAAGAGTACCTGACCTCCCTTTATATTAATAGAACAATAATGTCATTGTTAGCTAATGAATGTTTCCATGCTGAACAACGGCAACATGACAACGTTTTCATTGGTCCCTCTTCTTTAGAGAAGACCAGGAAATGATGGATACACGGATCGTGTTCAAATCAATAGGCACGCAATGACTCTAAATAATAATGATCACGCCACCAAACACACATTCAAACTAAAGGAACCAGCCTGTTTGGAAAATGAGAGAAGTAGAAAGTACAGGTATTTGAGTTCAACATGTAAGAAGTAGAAAGTACAGGTATTTGAGTTCAAAATGTAAGAAGTAGAAAGTACAGGTATTTGTGTTCAAAATGTAAGAAGTAGAAAGTACAGGTATTTGTGTTCAACATGTAAGAAGTAGAAAGTACAGGTATTTGTGTTCAAAATGTAAGAAGTAGAAAGTACAGGTATTTGTGTTCAACATGTAAGAAGTAGAAAGTACAGGTATTTGTGTTCAAAATGTAAGAAGTAGAAAGTTCAGGTATTTGTGTTCAAAATGTAAGAAGTAGAAAGTACAGGTATTTGTGTTCAACATGTAAGAAGTAGAAAGTACAGGTATTAGTGTTCAACATGTGAGAAGTAGAAAGTACAGGTATTTGGGTTCAACATGTAAGAAGTAGAAAGTACAGGTATTTGGGTTCAACATGTAAGAAGTAGAAAGTACAGGTATTTGTGTTCAAAATGTAAGAAGTAGAAAGTACAGGTATTAGTGTTCAACATGTGAGAAGTAGAAAGTACAGGTATTTGTGTTCAAAATGTAAGAAGTAAAAGTTAAAAGTCGTCAGAAAAATAAGTCGTGGAGTAAAGTACTGATACCAGAACAATGTAAGTACAGTAACGGAGTATTTGTACTCCCCTACTTCCATCCTCTGTTCTCCAGTGAGTCCGTGTTATTCCCGGGATGTGAGCTAAGCGACAGCTGGAAGTTATGATCCGCGGCCTCGGTAGCTGGATGAATCCCTTCTCCCCTCGGCAGCTAATGGATGTTCCCGACACACCGTGGCCGCAGGCGAAACAAACGCACCTATCTGTTCATCATAGCATGACAGAATATGAGAGGCCTGAAGTTTAAAAGAGGGACGAGGGACACGCACAGACTCATGTCGTATATAAACTGCAAATATGAGAACAGCGAACAAATGATTCTGTCTGTCCCTGAAACCACAGCCGGACACGCCTGGCCTATTTTCCCATAGTGCTTCAGTGCGGAGCCTTTTCTCCCTGTCATGTAACTGCAGAGGACAGAGGTGATGGAGAGGAGAGAAGGCATGGGGAGAGGGAGAAGCATGTAGACCTTATGGCTAGTGTATGAATAATGTATTGAAGCTATGCAGTGTCACACACACGATGGCGAGATACATTTGAACACCTCCAGGTGCTCTGTCACACTGCGATGCTGTGACAGACAGAAAGTAGTGTCTGCTGATCAAAGGAGAGTTTGTGTTTCACTCTGAAGTTTGGATTTCCATTTCTCATGCATGCTGAGAGGTGTCGATACTGAGCGACGGGAGTTAGTTGAAGAAATATGAGCAATATTCAGAGTGTGAACCCAACAGAAACTCCAGTCACTGCTGTAGTTCAGGAGTATGATTAGAATAACGTATCATAACGCTTTCAGTATGTGTTTGTAGGTATTCACTTAACTCATTGTATTCATAGTATTTGGGCAGGTTAAGGGACACTGACACCTTGTGAAAATAGATCAGGGCTTTAACTCGGAATAATGACGACTTCACTAGGATACTTATCATCTAAAAATCAACCGGGGCTTGCAGACGCCTCACAGGATATTCACTGAGCTGTTGTTGAGTTAAACAAACACCTCTTGACAGTCTAGACAAAAAACAAACTTTATGATCTTCACTAAATCTGTATGAGCTGCAGACTTGTTTGCATTATTACAGAGACGGTCTTCTTTACAGAAACAACAGCATGAATTGTTTGTGGAAATGCCTGAAAAGACTTGTTTACTTACTAACTTTGATGTCTTCTTGACAAGTGCTCTGAATCACGTGTTTCGTTTAATTTGTGTAACCTCTGTGTTAATGAGTTACATATCTCTATGGCATCTCCAGATACGGTGTTTTGTTATTGGTTTTCTCTACATTTCCATGAACACTAATTGAAAAGGATAATTAAAAACATATAGTGTGTGCAGAGGGCTTTGAGGACGCATCCATTTATTCTGCAGGTGTAGGACGGGGGAAGCGACTCTCTGTTGATTTCCCTTCAGTCTGAAGGGGCGAACACACTGAAGAGCTCTCAGTGGGATTCCTCTGTGATGTTTACAGGCTGAAGGTGAAGATGGTGTGACACCTGCACTCACTTTAGATACTTGTAAATACTTTTAGATATTTGAAACAGGCCACAGGAGTCCTCATTAAAACATCTGTGACTGTCGTGAAGGTTTGACATGACCACCAGCGCTCTGCGGATGTTTTTCAGAATTTTTTATTTTTGTTTACTTTCACCTCTGATGGCGTTATTCAGCGATACTCATCTCTAAAAGGGGCTTCAGATTGGCAGCAGGGAAACATCACTGTTGTTTGTTGTCAGTCTATTGTCACTGCATACTTTGTACTCATTATGTCGCTGCTGCTGCTGCTGGGTGAAAAATATAGTTAACTCCAGTGATATTTCACAATTATAAAGAGGCAGGACGAGGGCCAATCGGATCACGCTGCTCATTTCAGGGTGCAGTGAGTTAAACGTGAGGCAGAGGGGCTGACAGCAGATCAGTGGAAGAGTTTATATCAACAAGTCTGACATGTGAGGCTCTCAAAGTGGAGGGAAAGTACATTATGTTGTGATTCTGCTGGGCTTGTGACTAATGGCTACTGATAATGGTTAATGCAGACTGCCCTGAATGGAGGAAGTAAACAGATGGAAGTACAACCAGCATGTTATTCACTCAATCAGAAAACAGACATAGAGGTAAGTAGGGGCAGGCGATTGACGTAGCTGCAGACTGCTAACATGAGGCTGGAACAACGTTTCTCAGAATAAAGTCATTCATGGCGTGAGAGACCTCTTAAAGGTACAGTACACACCACCAAGAGTCAAAACGTTTTCCATCTTTGATCAACACCTCTTAGGGAAAACCCTTCTTTAAAAGGAGTAAATAACTAATAATATAATTGTCTTGATGAAGTTAATACGATCAATTCATATCGCAAAACAGAGAATAGTAAATGTGATATTTTTCTAAGAACGGTCACTGTTAAAACTGTTCATATAAAAGGAAATATCCACTGGAGTAGAAAATCCCTGGATCTACAGACTCTCAGGGTTCGGGGGCCTCTTTTGCCCTTTTATTGTATTTCATTATTAAAACTCCCATTTCCTACAGTTCCTCTCCGCCGCTGAAACCTAATATTGGCAGCGGGGCCGCGAGTGATGGTGCAGGCTACAGTGAGGGAGGGAGAAACACAACCGAGACGGAGAGAAAATGGAGGCAGACGGATTCATTGGAGTGGTAAAGGAGGATATGGAGCTGAAACCTGACCCCCCGCCCACTGCTGAGGGGGCCCCTAATCCCAGGATGAGGTGCACTGAGGCTCTAGTCTCTAGGAAGGATTTTAGGGATGTATTCGGTCCGTGCGCTCAAGTAGGACTGGCCCTATCTGTTATTCTTCTTTCCCTCTTCTCCATCGCTCAGAAAAGAAACTCAGCAGCCACCATTGCTGGCTCCCAGCCAATCAGCTGGATCCAATTTATGACTAAACGATGTTGAGAGCTTCTCCAGGCCTTTGCAATGAGGGCTTAGCATGCTATGGGGGTAAATGTATTCCCTGGTGAAGCCGGGGAGAAATCCTTCCTCTGGGTTGAGAGGGTTTGAGGGGAAAAAAGGGGGGAGATACAAGGGGGCCAACATTCCTCACTGCCCCAAAAATAGATCGCAAAGCTGGGGAGCGAGTACATCAAGTAAAACAACGCCTGACAAAACAAAAGGCTACACACAAAGAGAGTTCTGCTCATAAAGTGTAGCTAAAAGCACCGACAGATCCTTGACAGCAGCACTTTAAAGGTTCTGTTTTGTATCATTTACAGAGTTCACTCCACACACCGACCTATGGCCACTGTGTTTATGGGGTGATAAGTTGACGATGAAATGAGAAACCTGTTCCCAAAGACCGGGGTCAGGGGTCAGATACAAAAAAAAAAGTTCTCATGGAGAAAGATGATTTCTTTGCCATGTGTATCCGGGTTTCTAACCTTTGACATGTACATAAAAAAAAACTTTATTGGGTGCAGTGATGTGTCCTTATACACAAAATACTTTCATCCAAAGTCAGACTTAAACTGACATTAGAAGTCTAAGTCTAAGTCTAAGTCTAAGTCTACTACTACTACTACTACTACTACTACTACTACTACTACTACTACTACTACTACTACTACTACTACTACTACTACTACTACTACTACTACTACTACTACTACTACTACTACTACTACTACTACTACTACTACTACTACTACTACTACTACTACTACTACTACTACTACTACTACTACTACTACTACTACTACTACTACTACTACTACTACTACTACTACTACTACTACTACTACTACTACTACTACTACTACTACTACTACTACTACTACTACTACTACTAAATAAGAGGGAGGGTAGGGGAGTAATGTGATTACTAACCTGCTGCATGAATAAGCAAGTGTATGCACACATGATCACTGATTTCCTGTGTAACCTGATTTAAGAGGGAAAACACCTTCTGGCATTTGAGACGAAGGAGCCAGCTGTGTTAATGTGCAATAACACAATAATGTCTCATTTATTCTGCTTTAAAAAGTAATAGTGTTATTATTCGCTGCTACGTTTCAATAAATGAATAATGAATTTCTGATTCTGACTGTACCAGTTACTGCTAACTGTAAATCCTAAGGATAGGAAATGATTACCTTTCTAAAATGTCACACTAAAAGCACTCTTATTGCATCTTATGAATAGATGCGATCACATGCGTTCAAATCTTCAAGTTCAGGCAGGAATCAGCTTATAAAGAAACAGCCTTTCTTTCCATCCTGTATTTTCCTGCTGCTCAGTTTAATCTTACTCTCACTTACAGTACATGCCAACGACACTAATGACCTCTGAGTGCTTTCAGGGTAAAGTATAGGTAAAGTAAATAATAGCACACCATCTGCTATTTGGAACAGCTTTTGTCCAAAAGCCTCTAACAGCATGAGTAGCGGACACATTTCTTAAATTGGTATGTGCCGAGGAAATGGATTCTCCTTTTCTTGAGTTACCCGCAGTGTAAGTGTTCTTCCTGGTACACAGCGAGGACTCCTGGATTCTCAGGATTCAGACCCCTTTTGAAACGTTATAAAGTATTTGACATGTTTTGTTTGAGTGCTATTGCTCTTTGTTCACACCTGAACAATTTACAAAGGTCCTTTTTTCTCTATTGGTGAAAAAATGGCCCATTTAAATCGACCAATGTTATTACATGAAGACAAGTGCACTCTTATGTACCACTAGTGGTTTTAAAAAGGACCCCAACTGATGCATTTCTCCAGCTTATGATTAGTTTTATCTGTAGAGGAAATCTCCCAACTCAAGTTCTGGACTGCTTTTGAACTGACGCTTATCAGGGTCCATGTAAGATAACGAAAACCTCCTCCAGCTCTTCCTAGGGGATCCGAGACGTTCCCAGGCCACATGGTGGGTATAATACCTCCAGTGTGTTTATGGCATTGCCTCGGGGTCCCCTAAGTTACCTCAAGTAACTCCTTTTGTCCTTTTAGCAGAGGTTTTGCTTCTAGCTTCTTCACGAGTTCCTCCTGTTATCTCTAAAGGTGAGCCAGCCAAACTGTGGATCTCTAAGAGAGTTCATGACCTCAAGACCCCGATTCAGTGTGGATATTACGGTATCTCATGATGTGGTTTAGATTCTTCGGGACACAATTCAATTCAAAATGTGTTCAGTACATGAGGGTGCTAATTAGAGGATACACTCCAGTCCGGTATACGCTAATAAACGGGATGTGGCAAATCATGTCAAACGTTGTATATTAGAATCTCTACTCTTACAGTACATGTATGTTACCTTCTTCACCAAAAAAGTCCCTGTGTTTTTGTCTTTATTAGGATCCACATTAGCACTAGCTTTAGCATTGGCTATTCTACCTGGGGTCCACCCTCATTTACACACTATAGCCACATAAACACAAAAAACAAAACAACTCATCTCATGTAATTAATAATCAAGGATGGAAGTGAAACCAAGGACTATTTAACACATTAAGCCAAAAACCTGTTGATTATAAACCCAGGTGACAAACTTTCAGCCTGAAGTGGCAATCCACAGTTTTCCAGCAGACTCAGAGGTGTTCATTTGCTAATCAACTGACTGATTATTCAGCTAATTGTTTCTCCACACAGGTATAACACCCCCCCCCCCCCCCACTGTGTGTACAGGTGACTCACTTCTTGCAGGTGGTGTAGTCGGAGCAGCGGCTGAGCGGCACGCGGATCACGCAGCTGGAGAACGCCACGAACAAGGCGTGATGATCCCGGTCCAGCTCCAGACCCAGAACCCTCCGGTCCTCCCCCTGCACGTTACACCTAGAACACAGAATCAGGTCAGCATCAGGCATCTCTTACATTTAGTTACGTTTTTTTTTTTAAAGGTCTCCTATCATGCTAATTTTAGGCATATATTATGGGTATCAGATATATACAAATATTTAAAAAACATGTCTATGATGTGTTTTGCTCAAAATACCAAACAGATGATGCATTTTAGAGATCCTTCATAACTCTCTATTTCAGGCCTGTTAGAGAATGGCTGATTCTCTGCTGGCCCCGCCCCCTTTTGAGCACACTGATTAAATGCCATATCATGTTCCAAACCACTTCAAGGATTATTTCTGAAACAGTATGGAGCTCAAAGGCTTTCTCTCTTGCGGGTTTATCACAAGGTGAGTTCCTTTTTTTATTTCCTGCTTCTTCACAGACATGCTCTCTCCAGTACAGGTTAGCTCTGAGTGCTAGCGATGCTTGCTAATGTAAACAAAGACCATATTACGTCCAAAACACGTCGCGCAATGTTTCTGATAGCAACTTTCTGATAGTGCCGTGGGTCCACATTTCCGATATGAATTCATATCGGACGCAAATCTGGATCAGCTCCGTTGTACCCCCGTTTTTAGAGATGTTGGAAGGGAGGAAAAGAGAGAGGGTTTTATTTTCTGACACTTTGTGAGTTCCCTGGCTCATCGGGGACACACATTTATGTATAAAAGACATCAAAAAGTGCATTTTGCATGATAGGTCCCCTTTAAATCGGCACTGCAGACGACTGGCACGGTTTGAAAATGCTACAGAAAGCCGACTGTGAAACAAAACTCTATGCAGATAGACTCTTCAAGCTGTGCTGACAGAAAACAAAAGAAGACACGGAGAAAGAAGCGTCCCCTGCAGCTGAACAGGGTGATGCAAAGTGTTACAACACACCAACGAGTGGGTGGGCAGGGCGAGACACAGAGGAGAGACGGAGAGAGAAAGGAACAGAGAAAAAGATTAGAAGTGAAGGACAAATACTGAAACGAGCTGAAGCCTCACCAATTCGGAGGAGTTCGTAAAGTAGTAAAAAATATAGCTCACTTAGCAGAGTAATAGATCTTAATGTACTGGTGGCCTTTATTGAAATATATCACTACCGGGGGGGTTAGGCTACTGAAAGCCAATTAGAAATATGTCCGCAATTAATAGAGCATTGTGCGTACGAAATTTAGTCACATTGGAGCATCTTTAAGACTACTGGCCTGACATTCAATAGTTCAATGGCAACTTTCAAGCCCTTTTACTGCAGATTTGTCAGTTTTGGGCCAAAACTTAGGATATACAAAATGTGGTATCCCAAGAGATAGCTCAGGGATATAATCCATCCATCCATCTTCTCCCGCTTATCCGTGGTCGGGTCGCGGGGGTAGCGGTTCCAGCAGAGAGCCCCAAACGTTCCTTTCCCTGGCCACATCAACCAGCTCTGACTGGGGGTCCCAAGGCGCTCCCAGGCCAACCAAGAGATATAATCCCTCCACCTGGTCCTAGGTCTACCCCTCGGTCTCCTCCCATCCTTACTAGGTGCCCGAACCACCTCAACCGGCTCCTTTCGACGCGAACGAGGAGAGGTTCAACTCCGAGTCCCTCCCGGATGACTGAACTTCTCACCTTATCTCTAAGGGAGACGCCAGCCACCCTGCGGAGAAAACCCATCTCGGCCGCTTGTATCCGCGATCTCGTTCTTTCGGTCACGACCCATCCTTCATGACCATAGGGTGAGGGTAGGAACGGAAATGGACCGGTAGACAGAGAGCTTTGCCTTCTGGCTCAGCTCTCTTTTCGTCACAGCGGTAAAGCGACTCTAGTACCGCTCCCGCTGCTCCGATGCTCCGGCCCATCTCACGCTCCATTGTTCCCTCACTCGAGAACAAGACCCCGAGATACTTGAACTCCTTCACTTGGGGTAAGGACTCATTCCCTACTTGGAGTAATTTGTACAAAAACAATAAGATCCTAGTATTTTCGAGCTAGGGCCCTGTTGAAATAATCTATATTATATGATCACGTGTTGTAAGTCATGCTAGTGAGTTTCATCAATTTAGTTTATTTAAAGAGACCATGAATGTGCACATGTCTGTCTACAGCGTGTTATTGAGCATAGGGTCTTGTAACATGTGATTGTAAAAGGTCCAAAGGTATAGTGCTGTGTAAACTAAAAAGAAGTGTATGAAACCTGTGAGATTCGGTTATTCTTTAGACAGACTTTTAGCGGACTTGACGCAAGTATTCTGGCTCTTATACTGTTGTACAACAATCATCATTCCTTCAATCAGCAGTGTGTCTGTGTTTCTATTTTGTTATATATTTGGTTAAATCTTGAGTGTCTAAGGTTTCGGGTTCCATGACAGGGCCCTAATAAAAGAAAAACAATTAAGAACGGCTTGAAGGGCTTTAAACAGGACCGACACAGAGAAATATCAACGTGTAGATAAATCAGACTGACTTGCTGGGGTTGTACACGTCGATGTCCTCCATCAATAGTTTAATGGCAAATTTAAAGCCATTTAACTGCAGATTTGTCAGTATTGGGGCCAAGACTTAGGATACTCAAAATGTAGTATCCTAAGAGGTAGCTCAGGGATATAATCATTTGTACAAAAACATCACAATCCTACCATTTACGAGCCACGGTCCTAATAAAAGACAATTCTAAAAATAAGGGAAGGGCTTCAAACAGGACCGACAAACACAAATATCAACGTGTAAATAAATCCGACTGACTTGCTGGGGTTGTACACGTCGATGTCCTCCAGCAGCTGGGAGCTGAAGGAGGCGTTGGCCCCCTCGGTGCTCGCCAGGATCTTCAGCACGTGCCCGTTGTCTGAGCCCAGAAACACCACCGTGTGGTTCTTATTGGGCCCCGCGGACGTGTCCACCGCGATCTGGGTCAACTTGAACCTGGATTTAAAAAGAGAGACACAGAAACAAAGGCTTTTATTAAATAAAACAGTTTTGTAGAAGAAGTTGAAGATCGCAATTATTTTTGACTGATTTTGCAATTGTGATATCATTTGTGACATAGGCCTGGAGGAGGCGGAGGAGTGTTTGTTTGTCCAAAGCCGAATATGTGATGTGTGCAAAATGTGCAACACTTTCTCGTGTTTACCTAGTAATCGCAATTATTTTTGACTGATTTTGCAATTGTGATATCATTTGTGACATAAGAGGAAATGAGCATTTTGGAAGACATATATAAAAATGATCCTGATGTGATTTTTTTTTAAAGAGGATCGGTCACAAACATGGATTCTTAAAAGTCTGTTGAATACAATTAGTCGGCCCAGGTATGTCTGCAACAACACAACACTTCAGTCGGATATTTACACATATGTTGCATTTACCACATTTTGCACAAACCACCATTATCTATAATATTTAGGGAACAGTTGGGGGGGATGTGGAGTGGGAAAGGGGATCTTTGAAGCGTGTATTTTCTAAAATGAACGTTCCTTCAAGATGGCGTAACGGATAGTGGGCAAACAACGCCACATGTGTTGGTTCCCCATGATAAACAAAACAAACATGTGGGCTGAGTACTGAGCTCATTGTATTAAGCATCAGCGTGCAATCAATCACTTCATCTACCATCTTCCCTCCATCGCCCACATCCTGTAATCCATTAATTCATCCCCAAATCCACCCCTCCACCCACAGCCAGAGCATCGACTCTCCTTCCTGCTGCGGAGCCACTTTCCTCCACTCACCGACGTCTCTTTCTGAGCCCCAGTTCTCTCTGCTTGTCTTTATGAAAATGTCCAATTGAACAGTTTTCCATCTTATCTCCATATATGCCCCTCCCACACACCTGCTACCTCTGAGCTGGACTTACAGGGATATGCTGCACACTCTTTGAACCTAGCTTCTGTCTTTACAGGAGTAAGGACTGGTCTGTTCGTGGAAGCATCAAACAAAAACCCTTCCTGACCCACATGGTTCTGCTTTGAATACAAATGTACACGATGGAGCACCAACCCTGCTTCATATTCATCCACATCCCCCCCCTCACTTTTATTTTAGGTTATAGAGCTGAACCCTAACCCTTGTTGACGGAGTGACGAGGTTTTACTCTTCTTCTCTGCTTTTATTCTCCCCATACAACATAGCTTATATCCTGCTTCACACCAGCCTCATGCAGGTTACCATTAACATGTCAATTGTTTTTATATCATTTAGAGTCAGTACTATTTGTGTTTATCAATTGGACACTGCTTGAGTTTGTATCGTATAATAATGATCATGTTTCATTTCATTATTATTTTGTATTATTGTTTTATACATTTGAAATAAATCAAAATCAGAATACTTTATTTATATGCCGGGGGGATTTGGGTTTAGTGACAGTTTCTCCATACATGCCTAAATAAGATACAATACAACGGAATACAATTCAAGTAAAAAGTCCACATTTGACCTCGAGTACATGTCACAATATAAACACAATGTTGAATTAGTATTAATAGGATATGAATGCTGGATTGCACAGTGTGAAAGGTTCGGTTGCATCAGAGCTCAGAGTGATGACTGCAGGGTTCCTAGAGCTTCAGGTCATTTAGACTTAAGACTCTCTAACCCTTTCCTAATGCCTCTGAATTAAAATAAAGACGACAATCCTCTGTTGAAGTTCTCTTAATACTGAAGTTAGAACAATCTGTACGATGGGGAGTATTCAAATTGAGACACTCAGCCTCTCTTCAGCCTCTCTTCTCCCTCTCTCTCCCTGTCTTCTCTCCCTCTCTTCTCCCTCTCTCTCCTTCCTCTTCTCCCCCCTCTCTCCCCCTGTTTGCCCACATGGACCTGCCTGTGTGTCCCTGCTCTGACGGCCTGATGTGCTTCTGGTTAGATTTCATTTATCTGGTTTCTCTCTGGGGAGAGGCGAGGCAGATGTGATGTTTTTGGAGCCAGATGTGAGGCGGCACATGTTTCCCCAGTGAGGAGCCGCTGCCATGTGTGGCTGGCTGTCAGCCTGGCTCTGCTTCAGGAGGTGTGTGTGTGTCTTAGTCTGAATATGTGATGTGTATCTGCTATGTACAAACATGTCTGAAGTCTCTGCAGCACTGTCTGCAACACTTGACAACGATTCTACATTCAGCCCAACATCGTGTGATATCAGCACACACACACACACACACACACACACACACACACACACACACACACACACACACACACACACACACACACACACACACACACACACACACACACACACACACACACACACACACACACACACACACACACACACACACACACACACACACACACCACACACACACCACACACACACACACACACACCACACACACACACACACACACACACACACACACACACACACACACACACACACACACCACACACACACACACACACACACACACACACACACACACACACACACACACACACACACACACACACACACACACACACACACACACACACACACACACACACACACACACACACACGCACGTCAGCACTAGAGGAAGCCCCCCCCCCTCCTTGTGTGGTCTCTGGCGTTGGCAGAGATCGAGCGTTTCAGTAAATCCGATGGGTCTTAATGAGGAACATGGTTGTGTGTTCCACCTGAGCTCACTCATCGATACCAATCACAGCCCGAGTGAGGAAACCCTGCCGGTGTATTATTCAGAGATAGAAAATGATACCTGAATAATAGTCCTTACAGGAGAAAGCCTGAAGAGTATGTTCTCTTAAAAAAAACGTTTATACCGTATAAGTAAACGGCCATCTTTACATTGCTCATTCCAAGCTATAAACGGTACCAAGCCCAACATAATATACTAAATATACTAATTTATATAAATAGTTATCACCGCAATAAACCGCATTTAATTTAGTATTAATTTACATTATTTAATTTCATATTCTGTTCTTGTACATATCCCATATTCCATTGACATGTATATTAGGGCTGTGCAATTAATCGTATTTTAATCGCAATTACGATTTTGGCCTGCCACAATTACGAAAACAACATAATCGAAAAAAACAATTATTTTGCTTTGCTAGGTTGTGACAGTGCACTGCAACATATTTGATCTAATTTATTTGTATTTATCATATTTATATATGTTTAGTAGCTTGTTGAAGTGCGCTCCAAAATATTTGTTGATCTTGTTTATTGGTATTTATTATTTTGATATTATTTATTTAAATGTAGATATAAATGTATCATTTATTTTTGTATTGGTTTTTCAGTTGAATTATACGTTCAGGGAAATCAACAGTTAAAAAGATACTGCTCAAATTATTATTTGTATTTAAAAGTTCAATAAATGGATGTTTTCAAAGTCATGAATAATCGTATTTAATAATCGTGATATCAATTATTGACCAAAATAATCGTGATTATGATTTTTGCCATAATCGCACAGCCCTAATGTATATAGACTTTTTGCACTATTTTTGATTTTGTATTGTATTATATATGTTGCATTGTTGGAGGAGCTCAGGTCAGAAGAATGTCATTGCCATTTCTACAGTGCAGCTTTGTGCATATGTACAACCTTTGAATCTGAACACAGCTCGATAAGGAAGTGAATGCATCCTGATCAGGAGGCCTGGAGGAGGCGGAGGAGTGTTTGTTTGTCCAAAGCCGAATATGTGATGTGTGCAAAATGTGCGACACTTTCTAAACTCTAGGAATGAAGTGCACGCTAAAAGGCTCTTTGAGCATGTTTTCTCTCAGTGATCGTGCTGTTATGTTACATTGTTGTTGTTTGTTTTTCATGTATTGCGTCTTGATATTTGTCTATGTTGATGTTACACATGGAGCTGCTGTGATGCAAGTATTATCGTATCTTATTGTATCGTACCTGCTGGTGGTGCGGGTGAAGTAGGGTCTGTCGTTGACCGAGGGCACCGACTCGTCCATCAGCGGGTACGACTTGATGAAGGTCAGCGTGTCGTCGGGGAAGGTGGTGGACGACTTGTAGGCAGCGGCTGATCCCTCACCAGCGCAGCACCCAGGTCTGTAACGCAGAGAATGAACCGTCAGCAGTGAGATGTGAAAACACTGGCATCTGCAGCATGAGGTCTAAAACCACCAGACTCAGGGACAGTTTCATCCCACAGGCCATAAGACTGTTAAACACCTGAACTTTTCAAAGAACATCCATAACATTCATCTGTTTGCAACTTATATATATCAATATTACTTGTATATAGGCTATTCTTGCAATATCTATCTGTATTTACTTGCACTATTTTATCTGTTTTATTGTGTTGCACTGTGGGATGAGCCTGTGACCTAAGACAAAAGACAGCTTAATGTTACCTAAGAAGCATGCATAACAACGTATTAAAGATCGCCCAAGGTTGAGGTCTGAGATCAATGAGGGCAGCACAAACTGACAAACTGGGTCAAAGTTAAAGCCCAGGAAAATATTTCCCCAACAACCAGCAGTGACTAAAGATGTGAAAACACTGGCATCTGTTTGGTTCTGGGGACACGCAGGAGGGAAGAACAGGTGTCACGGCTTGTTGTTTTTTGCTCTGAGATGTTTGTGCAGAACAACAGCAGCTGCAAAAACGCCATTGTTAAAGGCAGACATTTTTTTTACATGTACTTGGAAAGTGACAGTTAGTTATTTAAAGATGTGTTTTCTCACCTTGGTTTTGGGACCTGATCCTCGGGAACAGGTGTCCACGCTGTCTCGCTGTTCCTCTGCTCTTTGAATTTGCCACTGAAGGCCTTCTCGATGTCGTCCATGTAGAAAGCGCACACTGCAGAGCCGGTGATGCTGTTAGAGACCAGAGAGGGAGATGGCATTAGAAAAGATGGGGACAAAGGTCTGTCAAAGTCTGGTGTGGCTTCTGTCTTTTGTATTAAGGAGAGCTCAGCATATAGCAAAACATGTACATGAAAATACTTGTTGTCATGCTTTTATCTTGCCTTTTTTTCCACCGTTTGCCTTAAATAATTGTATCGATTGTAAAGCAATATGTAACCTTGTAAGCACAGTTATAACATAAGAAGAAAACCCTTTATTTTTACATTTTTGTGGAGTGTTTATGTCAAGGAATAGATTAGAAAAACAACTAATTTTGTATATATTTGTCTACATTATATTACATTTTATTTACAGTAGCAGATGTATTATTCAAATAAACTTACAATAAATGCAATAAACAAGGAAATACAAACTCAGATCTTCAAGAAACCTGCATGACATGTCCTTCAAAATAAGCCATATCATTGTTAGTGCTGGTGCATTAGTCTGTATTGACTTACATTTTCTAAGTACTACATTTCTTTTGTGTTAGTTTGCCAGGATGCAAAGGAAACAGGTGGGTTTGAGTCTTAACAAATAACAAATGTATAGCTGGATAGGACTTTGCTATTCGTATATCTCTCCCAAAGAACAGAACATGCTCAAACCACAGCTGACATTGTGCAGAGACAACAACATGTTTCTAACCTGTTGGCCTGCGTGGTGAAGACCCCCAGCACGGCCGGCCGGTGGTTGATCTGCAGAACGTTTGTCAGCGACTGCAGAACATCGAAGTAGAAGAAGGAGTCTCCCGGCACGGAGCAGTTCAGACGGGCTTTGAGGAATGACGTCCAGTAACGTTCCAGCACCCTCGGGGAACCACCATTATCATTCTTACAGACACGAGCGACTCTGGAGAAAACCACCTGAGGGGACAGGAGGGGAAGATGCATTACTGCCAGAGATGGCAAACACATCCTTTCCTCAAGTAGAGGTACAGATACTCGTGTTTAAAAATACTCTGGTGAAAGTAGAAGTACTGACTAAACTTCTTTACTCAAGAAGGGGCTTTGAAATGTACTTCAGTAAAAAGTACCCATAACTAGCAGCTGTTTTAAAGAGTACCTGACCTCCCTTTATATTAATAGAACAATAATGTCATTGTTAGCTAATGAATGTTTCCATGCTGAACAACGGCAACATGACAACATTTTCATTGGTCCCTCTTCTTTAGAGAAGACCAGGAAATGATGGATACACGGATCGTGTTCAAATCAATAGGCACGCAATGACTCTAAGTAATAATGATCACGCCACCAAACACACATTCAAACTAAAGGAACCAGCCTGTTTGGAAAATGTAACAAGTAGAAAGTACAGGTATTTGTGTTCAACATGTAAGAAGTAGAAAGTACAGGTATTTGGGTTCAACATGTAAGAAGTAGAAAGTACAGGTATTTGTGTTCAAAGTGTAAGAAGTAGAAAGTACAGGTATTTGTGTTCAAAATGTAAGAAGTAGAAAGTACAGGTATTTGTGTTCAAAATGTAAGAAGTAGAAAGTACAGGTATTTGTGTTTAAAATGTAAGAAGTAGAAAGTACAGGTATTTGTGTTCAAAATGTAAGAAGTAGAAAGTACAGGTATTTGTGTTTAAAATGTAAGAAGTAGAAAGTACAGGTATTTGTGTTCAAAGTGTAAGAAGTAGAAAGTACAGGTATTTGTGTTCAAAATGTAAGAAGTAGAAAGTACAGGTATTTGTGTTCAAAATGTAAGAAGTAGAAAGTACAGGTATTTGTGTTCAAAATGTAAGAAGTCAAAGTAAAAAGTCGTCAGAAAAATAAGTAGTGGAGTAAAGTACTGATACCAGAAACATTTACTTAAGTACAGTAACAAAGTATTTGTACTCCACTACTTCCCACCTCTGCGTACGGCTGACAGATATCAATCATGTTTAGGAACAGGAAATAATTAGCAGACAATACAAGTGATTGTTAGCATGTGGCAAGAGATGTTGATTGACTGCATTCCACTCAAACAATTATGCAGACTCCACAAACCACAAGAGTGTCTGGTCTGAAGCCTCACCTTGCCAAGAGTGGTGTACTCCACTGCGATCTCACTCAAGAAGAAGTACACGTAGTTCCCATACTCGATAGCGTGCAGGAAATGGGGCTCTGTGGGAGGCAGGAGAGAAAACATGTGACATCTGTGAGGACTTATTCAGGGATTGACGTGTGCATCAAGAGCAGGCGGTTAGGGGAGCTGGTAAACACAAACGCTCAATTTGGACAATGGGCTCAGGAGAAATTTAGGGAGAGAGCGTTCAGAAATGGTACATTTACATATAAGGGCAGACAGATAAGGAAAACACACGTACTATCAGAGAGATAACAAAGCAGAGCTGGTAGTGGATCAGAGCTGATAAAAACACCTGTATATCTAAGATAAAGTCAGTCACTTCTACAGCTGAAGTTCAGCCGGCGGTACACATGACTAAAATACCTAAAACTTACAGTTTGTTTTGAGATCTGCAATCAGATTTTGTGGGTTGAGAAATGTATTTGAAGTGCTTGAGTAGCAAACATAAAAACCAAAAGGCTATTTTTGTCTGATGGAAGCAATAGAGTGGTGCAGGAACGAGTTAGCGTTAGCACTTCCACTTTCCCTCGTCACGAAGTCAATCATTTTCTTTTGTATGCATTCAGATGCTTGAAATAAGTTCTGTGGTTAACACAAGCTGAAGAGATTTTTAAATTTCTTTTCCACGTTTTAAATTACGTCAATAAATACCCTACTGGTGTCTTAAACAGCTGTTGCTAACGAGTTTCTAAATGAAATTACTAAACGTCATCACAGAGAAGATTAGCCACCTTTAGCTTAGCGGTGGTGACATGTAGGTTAGTGTATTGCTTGCCTTTGCATTTACACTTCAAATATTACAAAAATTGTGTTAATATGTGGAGATTATCCTGATGAACAATATATGTATGTTCATAAAAGTATCTTTAACAAAGGTTTTATTTTGTGCAATATTCCAAAATCCAATGGAGAAATCCCATTTACTTTGTGCTATGTGCTATGACGCTAACTTTGGGTCCTTCTACAAAAACACATCATCACTGCATTACCCTCGTCTTGACGTAGCTCCATGAGAAGGAACAAAGACACATTTAATGTCTTGATAGGATGGGAAATTAAATAGTTCTACACGCTCCCTTAAATGAGGATGACCAGGAAGGTAACTCTTGTGTGATGATTGACTGATCAAGAAATAATGGACCAATTTACTATAATTATGAGCTAATGAAAATGACAGCCTTGGTGAAAGTGCTGGGACGTAATCAAGCCTGTTGCACGGCGGTGTTCGAGAGCGATGTATCGATGGCCGAGCACAGACAGCAGCTTGGAGAAAACAAAGAAACTTCTGAAATGAATGTTAATCACTTCCTTCTGATACAATCTGCGACGGTGAGTACCAGGAGAAACGAGAAGCTGCTGCCTGAATGATTACTACAAAAGGGCAAGGAACGAGAAAAGATTTGAAAAGAGATTTGTTATCCTCTGAGCGCAGTGAATCCTGGCATTTTGCAGACTTGGAGAATATGATTCAAAATGGAAAAGCAATCACGACCAAACTTTAGTCTTTGACAGGTTCATATATCAGAGAAATAAGAAGCCGCCCAGTATTCAACCGCCACAACTGTATGCTATGTACCTAATGTTACACTTTATTTCACAGCATGGGTGAATACTTGATTCTGATTGGTCAATTTGGATATTCAATGCTCTGTTATTTCTAGATAGTAGACCGCTGTTAAGAACGCTCTGAACTGAGGGCAATGAAGTCATATTAGTCCGCAGAGAGAAGTCATTTAACATCAGCTGTGGCCAAAAACAGTGAGAAATCACAATAAAAATACTTTTTAAGAATTCATTTTTATATACTGAGGGTGCATTGACCCATGATGGCTGATGGAGGAAGTAAACACTAAAGGGAACAGCAGAAGAAGACAGACAGGAAGTAAACACTAAAGGGAACAGCAGAAGAAGACAGACAGGAAGTAAACACTAAAGGGAACAGCAGAAGAAGACGGTCAGGAAGTAAACACTAAAGGGAACCGTAGGAGAAGACAGACATGAAGTAAACACTAAAGGGAACATCAGAAGAAGACAGACAGGAAGTAAACACTAAAGGGAACAGCAGAAGAAGACAGACAGGAAGTAAACACTAAAGGGAACAGCAGAAGAAGACGGTCAGGAAGTAAACACTAAAGGGAACCGTAGGAGAAGACAGACATGAAGTAAACACTAAAGGGAACATCAGAAGAAGACAGTCAGGAAGTAAACACTAAAGGGAACCGTAGGAGAAGACAGTCAGGAAGTAAACACTAAAGGGAACAGCAGAAGAAGACAGACAGGAAGTACACACTAAAGGGAACCGTAGGAGAAGACGGACAGGAAGTAAACACTAAAGGGAACAGCAGAAGAAGACAGACAGTAAGTAAACACTAAAGGGAACAGCAGAAGAAGACAGACAGGAAGTAAACACTAAAGGGAACAGCAGAAGAAGACGGTCAGGAAGTAAACACTAAAGGGAACAGCAGAAGAAGACAGACAGGAAGTAAACACTAAAGGGAACAGCAGAAGAAGACAGGAAGTAAACACTAAAGGGAACAGCAGAAGAAGACAGACAGGAAGTACACACTAAAGGGAACCGTAGGAGAAGACGGACAGGAAGTAAACACTAAAGGGAACAGCAGAAGAAGACAGACAGTAAGTAAACACTAAAGGGAACAGCAGAAGAAGACAGACAGGAAGTAAACACTAAAGGGAACAGCAGAAGAAGACGGTCAGGAAGTAAACACTAAAGGGAACCGTAGGAGAAGACAGACAGGAAGTAAACACTAAAGGGAACAGCAGAAGAAGACAGACAGGAAGTAAACACTAAAGGGAACAGCAGAAGAAGACGGACAGGAAGTAAACACTAAAGGGAACAGCAGAAGAAGACGGACAGGAAGTAAACACTAAAGGGAACACAGTATGGGCTCTTGCGGTGTTTAAAGACTGGTTCATGGAAAATAAAATGTGAACAGACTTGATCAGTTACAGAAAACCTCTTTCAGTGCTGCGGTAATCTCTTTGTCACATTTTAAATCAATATAATCATTGTTTAAGTCAGTTTCGTGAGTCATATTGTTGGTTTATTAAGTACGCAGCAGTGTAACAGGTGGGATTATTTGCAGCTTTGCTCCGGGATCCTTCTCACATTAATGAGCGGCTCACTGCACATTATAATATCTTCTTTCACATGCTGTTCGCTCACCTCTCAGCCATTTGGAGTCGTACTTGACGGTACGCAGCACTGGGCTGCTTTCTCCAAGACTTCGGTAAATCACTGCATCGCTCGCCAAGAAGTCTGTCATGGTGGCCGAGTAGAAATCACCACCTGAGATAAGAAAAAAAGACAGAAAAAGCTGATTTGATATTACATTGTCAGGGATCATAACACCCAGGAACAACCCACTTCTTTGAAGCGTCTATTTTGGTCACAGGTGACTTTTATTCTGCCCTTTAGAAAGAGGCAGATGATAGCCGATGTAGGAGAAAGTGTCACTTTTAATAACACCCTGTGTGAACTTTGCATAAATGTCAGTGGAAACCTGGCAGGAGCGAGTCTGGCTCTGCCTTCACTCTCGCTGAACTCGACCCCGACATGTTCACACAGTATCAGCTTCTCTCTGCTATCATTAGTACAGAAAACCCAACCGCACATTAAAGTCCATCGAGGGGCAACTTCAGATTACAGCCTGGGATAAAAGTGAGCACTCATACTTAATCACCCAGATAAATGACGAAGGGTGTAGCTGTAGTTAACATGTAGTTAAGTTTAGTAGTATATATTTATTTTTAACATTCTCAGAGGTAATTTTCTTCTTCCACTTTTGTAATATGTATAAACAAGGGGTCTCCAACCTTTCTTGATCAGAGAGCTACTTTGAAAAAATTAGAGCTACTTTCATCACATCGCTTACATTCATTCACATAGCACTCATCAGTTGTACTTTTGTACACGTGTGAAATTGCAATACCCAAAGCTTATCAAAAATCTTAACTTCAGCGTAAAGCGATTATGTTTTTTGGTTATTCTTAAAAATGATGACATCAATTGTATTGTGATTTTCAACATGTATTTTATTCTCTTTCTTATTATTTTGTGGTATTGTAATGTTCATTTATTTCCTGGACATGACCTTGTTAAATTCTTACCTTGAAACTTGACATTTTTCTTATACGTTTTGAAACTTATTTATCAAAATGTCTGAAGATCAATGAGATCACAGGTCTATGAATAAGACGTGATGTGTATGGACAACTCAGGGGTGGGATACTTTAATATAAGTTATGATTTCTGCATATATATCAATATTGAATGGGAAAATAAGTATTTAATGACCCCAACAATATTGGTAATGCATGTACAGGACCTTTTATCAGAGATATTTTAGGCAACCAATGCAAAGGTTTCTTTAAAAAAAGAACTGTTCTCATAAAATAATACATGCAAAAATGACTTTTTAATCTTGTATAAGTAATGCAACGAGTCACAGCGAACATCAAGTGTGCATTCATCTCTGTCAAAGCTACATTATCATTTTGAAGAAATGTAAGTAGTTTAAAATCAATAAGCATTCGAACTGCATTAATGTCAAACTGAAAAAAGTTCACTGAAGTTTGAAATGTTTAGCAAAAATATGACGTATATAGAATTTCTCTCAAACTCAATGCTGTAATAACTAGTAAGGTCTAAACCCCTCCGTAGAGAATACAAAAAAGATTTGTGTTTAAATAAAAAACACTTTTGATTAAATTATGACATTCAGGACCTTTAACATTTTAAAATGTTTGACTGGCTCTCTTCACTAAACCATCACCGGAAGATTCTCGAAAGGCAGATAGGCATTACTTACAATTGTATTCACCCTCACATATTGTGACAATTACCGGTGAAAACTTCCTTTTTAACGTCAATAAACACCGGTTTAAAAACCAACCAATATAAATAAGACTGATGAGATAGTTTGTTTGTAACATGTAGTAGTTAGGGTAAGTCACCCCCTGGTATTTGGTTAGTTTTAGGTGTTTTTTTTTTACTTGTAATGCGTCTAAACCAGGGGTGTCAAACTCAAATACACAGTGGGCCAAAATAAAAACATCGGTACTAGGGCCGGACTGGTTCAATGTTTATTGCAGAACTTATTGAAATGAACTTATTGCACATATTAAACCTGGAACTAACAAAGCTTAAATTATTGCCTATAAAAACAACATTAAATAATCAGTTGCATTCATTTCTTATGGCTCTATCTGCAGAGTCATTTCTTATGATTACATTTCTCCACAGGCCAACAACAGCTTCAAAAAAACTATTCCCCTCAAAGAAAAAACCAAACATGTCCTGTTGTCGCAAGTAAAAAAGTGCAGAAGGAAACATCCATTAAACTCAGTGTGCTACTCTGTGATGCTAGTTCAAGCCAGATACTTGGCATCTCATCTTGGGTGCAAGTTCATCAATGTTTGGGGTCAGGCTCTGAGCTGAGGAAACCCTCAGGATGGAGTGAAGGTGTGTGTGCAATATACCGGCGGGCCAGATCTAATAGTAATTAGAAATTATCCTGCAGGCCGAAATTAAATCCACCAAGGGCCTGATTTGTCCCCCGGGCCTTGAGTTTGACACATGTGGTCTAAACTGTCTCTAATGTTACTAATACATCATCTAAATACTTTGTGTTTGGTGTTTGACCCCTTTCCTCAAGCTTAGTTTAGCTTATCAGTGTGTCCCAATTTCAAATCTTCATTCTGTCTTATACTTGATTATTGAACTTTTTGTCAATACATTGAATTGAAATGTGGGAATCTTAATAAAACGGGAACATTGAGGACACTGAAGAGGAGGAAGGGCACAGATCAGACGCTGTGGGAGTTGAACATGTGTTTTAAAAAAAAATTAAATCACAAGACTTTTCATTGCTCAAATGACTCACCTGCAAAAAGGCCGACGTTGGACTGGCGGGACTCAAAGGGGCATCGAGCCTGTCCCACCACCTCCTCCCCCTCCTGCTCCAGAGTGGACATCTACGTCAGACAGGACACAAGGGAATACTTTATTAGTCCATATACACAACTGTAAGGCTAACCTAATTTAGACAAATGGACATAAAAAGACAGAGAATGAACACAGCGTTACGGTTTACACCCACGAGGTCATGGCTGCAAAAAATCAATAAAACAAAAGTATTTTATGTGGGTTACCAAATCAATCTGTGACGATGAAAGGCAACACATGCATCATTAAGATTAGTTTTATTTGATGTTTGTTATGCGAGTAGGTTCCATAAATAAACTGTAATGTGGAGGTCCTGCTGTCTCGAGCGGAGAGGATAGTTTATCTCTCAGCCGCAGATATTTAGCTGCTATTTTCCAACACGCTGTTAACAAGGTTGTAAAGCTCAGATACAACAATGAGTAAAACCCAGCAGAGTGTGTGTGTGTGTGTGTGTGTGTGTGTGTGTGTGTGTGTGTGTGTGTGTGTGTGTGTGTGAGAGAGTGTGTGTGTGTGAGAGAGTGTGTGGAGGGAGCATGCAGAGCAGATTCAACACCCTGTGAAGTAACAAGGTGACACACAATAACACACACACCACTTAAACAGTCCATTAACACGTGGCGTTATTTATGTGATGCTGTTTCCCCTCCTTAGACACAATCAGTGTGTGTTCTTTTATTGTGTTTTTATACAAGACCTTCAAGAGGACATGTCCTGCTCATTTTCAGGTTGTCTCTCCTGGGACATGTCTCCATGCTTTAATGTTCAAAAAGCTCTTTATTTTTCTCATACTGCCTGTCTCTTTTCACCCTCTGTCTGAAACCAGAGCCCAGTCTGTTCTGACTGGTTAGCTGGCTGGCTCTGTTGTGATTGGATGTCCCGCCCCTTAGCCTATCACGTAATGCGTTGGAGAACAGGGAACACCCCAAAAAGCATAATAGGGCCTCTTTAAGCTGTGTGTTCTGAGACGATTATCAAAGTTTCCGATATCAAAATGTTCCGGACTAAGTAAACAAAGGAGTCCGATGGAGGAGTTTCAGGCATGGGAACACAATGATTTTAACCTTTGCAGGCCATTTACATTCAGAAATACCAATATAACACACTACAGGAAAGGGAAACCCCCCAAAAAACACAACAGGGCCTCTTTAAGGTTAATCTTATGTAGAGAGGAGGCGGACCAAATGGGAAAACTTGTACAAACTATCTAAGGCTGTGCCAGAATATCAACAACTCACTTTTAATGGGACTTCCATTCAGTAAATTATTCCACATGAGGATAATCAATAATGTTATCCTTGTCTGTGTTTTGTGAATGATGTTTCTGTTGCTGATTATTTTAGTTGTATGCGTCTTGTTTAGTTTGGTAAGTGCTGTAAGTCATCGTGGTCTGCCAAGAGACTTTAGATGCAAATTAGCTTGAAACTAATTCTGGCACAATGGAGCTCATCAACTTATTGGCAATTCAGAAATGTACACCTCCTTCTGTTGTTGTTAAAAAGACTAAGCGTCACAGCAGCCTTTTTTAAACCGTTTTATGATTACTTACTTAGTTTAAAAACTGCAAAGAACTTTACTCAAAGAAAGTGAGGTGTCACAACAAAAGTTTGGGATAAATGATAGCTGCACACATGGGCTGATAAGTTCATTATTATTAATGGTGCATTGTGTTTTAAATACTGTCAGATGTCCTTCTTACCATCTCCATCTGTCACAGGAGGCACATTATAAAAAGTATTTGTTTGAGTTTATCACCACAGAGGAAGAGATGGTTGCTTTAGTGCTGCAGATAGCTGTTACCATCTTTCAAAAGTGGATCTAAGCACCAAAATGTCCGTGTTTATCCATCTGGGGACATTTATTCAAAATCAACACCCAGTTGGCCACTTGAATTTTACGACTGTTTTACGAAGATGTCTGCCATTTCCAGGCGAGAAAACAGTATTTTATCACACAATTGTAGCCATTGGATACATTTCTGAACCGTTTTTCAAGTCAAATGTACAATTTAGAAACTTCTTCAGAGCTTGGATGTGTCATTTTAGGCCCGAAATGTTAAAATGAATATGTAAAACACTGGCACATTGCATAAAACATGTATTATTTCACGCATCAACAGGAATTAAAATCTTATTTCCGTGTGAAACGTAAAATGAGGTAATAGAGCAAATAGCAAAAATATAACTTTCCGCATGACCTCTACATTCTCTGAGAAATCCGTGCTAAGATTTTAAAGGGGTCACGTGTTTACACCTCTGAACCTGACGCAACCGAACACAACCGCGCTGCCCTACATATCGCTGCTGAGGAGCCTCTATTGGATCCTCCTGCAGCAACAACGATGGTGCAATTTGGACATGAATAAAACATATCAAAGAGGGCAAAGACTGAGAGCTTGTAATGTGTTTTCCAGTTTGGCTTCACAACAGGAAGCAGCAACACAAGAGACACGGGACGGAGAGAACAAAGGACAGCGGGGAACTCATTCATGTCAATTATTTGATCAGTGGGACACAAAATGTTAACATCGATTATGATTTGTTGCCATGGTAGTTACACTTATTCTAGCTTTTTAGTGCTCATTTTCAGGTTCATAATTGTATTTTGTGCCTCTTCTGTGACCATTTCCATGCTTTAATGTTCAAAAAGCTCTTTATTTGTCTCATACTGCCTGTGCTGTAGGGCTGCACGATTAATCTTCTTGTGTGTCAGTCATCCACATCAATCACAAGAAGTGCTGTGCTCCACATGTAATAGCCATTGTTAACCAATCAGAAGTGGCCCAAGGTAACTACGCATACGCCCAACAACAACACTGCACGCGAAACGCCCATGTGTGAAGACGTTTCTAGCAACATTCATGGTGTGGATAAATGGCTTCAGCCGAGCCAGAAGCAACGTTGGACAATTTAGGTACAATCAGTGAAGAGTCTGTGCAACTGGGTCAGAGAAAAAGACCTGCAGGTGTGTGTGCGCGTGTGTCTGTGTGTGTGTGTGTGTTTTATCTATGGAAACACTCTCCTGTGGATGTCCTTTTAGATTATATATATATAGCAAATTGAATTGCAATCGCAATATCTGTCAGAAAAATCGCAATTAGATTATTTCCCCGAATCGTGCAGCAGCTCCTCTGTTCACCCTCTCTCTGAAACCAGAGCCCAGTCTGCTCTGATTTTAAGGAGGGATTATTATATTCCTCTAAAATAAACATCATATAAGACCAGGAGAGTTCTACGAAAAATCAAGTCATGGAATATTATTAGCAGAGTCTCTAATTAGATTTGTGCTCCTGAAAACACAATTACGTTTGGTTTTAAATCTGATTACAGTGTTGACCAGACTCCTCTCCTGCAGAGTGACATGATTTGAAAGTGAAACAGCAGTTCGTTAATCTTAAAAAGTAAACAGACGTCGGAGAGAAAGGAGGAGTGGATGAACCTGTAGTGACTGCAGACAGATGGATTTGACGCTTTAAGGTTTTGTTGTATAACAAACGCATGTTGAAGACAGCCTGTCTACAGAGCAGCTGGTCAGTGAAGATGCATGGTCATGGTACACACACACACACACACACACACACACACACACACACACACACACACACACACACACACACACACACACACACACACACACACACACACACACACACACACACACACACACACACACACACACACACACACACACACACACACACACACACACACACACACACACACACACACACACACACACACACACACACACACACACACACACACACACACACACACACACACACACACACACACACACACACACACACACACACACGGGAAACAGACGCAGCAGGGGAGATGATGGGGGAGATGCAAAAAGAAGAATGTGTGATAGGATGGAGGCCTGTATGCAGTTCTTAAAGTATTGTACATCAATCTCTCTCCTGTGTTAACCTCTGCAGCTGAGCAGTGACACTGAGCAGGTCCGCTGTGACACCTGAGGGATGATGGGATGCAGGGAGGTATTTAACTGGTTATATCAGTCTATGCACATGCTGCATTTAGTTTTTTATCTACTATTGCAACTTATTAGATTGTTTATGTTCGCACCACCAGACACCAAAGCACATTCTTTGTATGTGTAAACGTACCTGGCAATAAGCTTGATTCTGATCCTGATAAGCCCCAACATAGACTGGGAAATATTTCTTAAATGGTCCAAGATCATATCTAATGTGAAGAATATTTAGGAGTTTTAACATGTATCTGGGAAGTGTCTTTGAGAACGTTTTAATTAATATGACACATTTATTGATGTCTTTTGAAATATAATTTGCCTCTATATTTTAAAAGTTCGTTATAAAAGGTTTGACCATTTTGCAATAGGTTAAAAGCAAACGTGGCTTATGATGATATTTCCCCAATTTGATGTGAATGGTCAGACGTGTTGAGGAATCATTTCCCCTACATGTCATCTTTCTCCCTCTGACGCAGATGCCCAGCCTTGAGCAGCCGTTATCTCCCTTAAGGAGGGGCTGCCCTAGCAAGTTGTTGTTGTTGCAACTCGGTCGGTCAGAGATAGTCATTGTTGTGGGACAGCTGGAACACATCCTTCTCGAGGTGTAGATGACCCCGAGCCATAACTGACAACAAATGTGATTCAGTGTTCTCAGCTGTTTAGTCTATCTAATGAAGAATGTTGATTATCACACTCTGAACTAGTTAAAACCTGGAGCTACAGGAGGGGTCTTCAGAATTGATTGTGGCCTCTCAACCGTGTGGTCAACTCGTGGCCCGTGACATGTCGTGTGAATTCTCCGGCCGAAGCTCCAAATAAACCGTCAGTGTTTGCCATCAAAGCTCCAGCTCTCCATCGTGTCTCTCTCTGAGTCCTGACTCCATCAAAGCTCCAGCTCTCCATCGTGTCTCTCTTAGTCCTGACTCCATCAAAGCTCCAGCTCTCCTCGTGTCTCTCTCTGAGTCCTGACTCCATCAAAGCTCCAGCTCTCCATCGTGTCTCTCTTAGTCCTGACTCCATCAAAGCTCCAGCTCTCCTCGTGTCTCTCTCTGAGTCCTGACTCCATCAAAGCTCCAGCTCTCCATCGTGTCTCTCTCTGAGTCCTGACTCCATCAAAGCTCCAGCTCTCCATCGTGTCTCTCTCTGAGTCCTGACTCCATCAAAGCTCCAGCTCTCCTCGTGTCTCTCTCTGAGTCCTGACTCCATCAAAGCTCCAGCTCTCCATCGTGTCTCCTCGAGTCCTGACTCCATCAAAGCTCCAGCTCTCCATCGTGTCTCTCGGAGTCCTGACTCCATCAAAGCTCCAGCTCTCCATCGTGTCTCTCTGAGTCCTGACTCCATCAAAGCTCCAGCTCTCCATCGTGTCTCTCTCTGAGTCCTGACTCCATCAAAGCTCCAGCTCTCCATCGTGTCTCTCTGAGTCCTGACCATCAAAGCTCCAGCTCTCCATCGTGTCTCTCTCTGAGTCCTGACCATCAAAGCTCCAGCTCTCATCGTGTCTCTCTGAGTCCTGACTCCATCAAAGCTCCAGCTCTATCGTCTCTCTCTGAGTCCTGACTCCATCAAAGCTCCAGCTCTCCTCGTCTCTCTCTGAGTCCTGACTCCATCAAAGCTCCAGCTCTCCATCGTGTCTCTCTGAGTCCTGACTCCATCAAAGCTCCAGCTCTCCATCGTGTCTCTCTCTGAGTCCTGACTCCATCAAAGCTCCAGCTCTCCATCGTGTCTCTCTGAGTCCTGACTCCATCAAAGCTCCAGCTCTCCATCGTGTCTCTCTCTGAGTCCTGACTCCATCAAAGCTCCAGCTCTCCTCGTCTCTCTCTGAGTCCTGACTCCATCAAAGCTCC